AGGTTCCTACACAAAGGATAAATAGTAGGGAAGGTCATGATCTTCAAACATTTGAATAGTAATTCATATATATTGTAAAAATCCATTTATGGGACCAACTGTGTCATTTAGTTTCTATTCAACATAAGCAGATATTTCTACAGCTGAGCAGGGATCTCTGTTAAACTGCTGCAAACCAAAACCATTTAGAAGGACAAATCGCACTAAACACCAGAGGACTGTTGTGTAAATTTGATTTTGGGGTGAACTGCACCTGCAAACTGAGTGTAGTTTAAGTCTTGTTTCCGGGACTAAAGCTTCAGTGTTCCTGTGACCATATGTATGTATCAAACCTCTGAGATTATTTCCTGCACGAGACCATGTGTGCACCATGTGTTACGTGATTAGCAAAGTGTGTTTGGGATAGGTTTGTTATGTTTTTCTCATTCTTTCCCCTGTTTTTGCTTTTTGTTCAGCTTTTGTGTTATTTATTTATTCAATAGCTTAGCTCAACAGTTGAAGGGTTAAAGTAGCAGCTGTACTGTAACTGTAGCAGTTCAGTCTGGTAACAGTAGAAACACTGCGTCATCTGTTTATGTTTTATTATATATTGGGATATGAACGATGTTTATCTTTTAGTTTTTAATCTTATTTAATGCAACCTTGTCTGTAAATGAATTAAATGTAATAAATGAACTGCTGAGCTTCTCACGAGGCTTTATCTCTTCTGTTACTAAAAGCCTAATGGTGATGCCTGTTGGGAGATGGCTTAATCTGGGTTATTTATTTATAGCTACAGTCTATAGATTAGACTCTAATGCCAATGTTTTGAAGAGAGACTGGCTATGAGAATGCATCCAATCTTTATGTCCTGCTGTGCACAACAGATCGAGCAGACTGTGGGTTGCAGCTGTCTGAAAACAGCTCATCCAAATGAGAGTGACTGAAGAAGAGGAAAAAGTAAGCCGAATAAAAACAGTTTCAGTTTCAAGCCACCAGAGTGCGTACATTTAAGGCTTGGTAAAATGTGATCGTGAATGCATTAATATGAATGAAAGGTATTCAAAGACAGGAGGGAGCAATCACTCTAGTGGACGCTGTGATAGCAGGATAACTTTAAGCCAGATGACTGCACTCACACAGGTACCCATCAGCAATGCAGAGCAGTGGATTGGTTGAACAGTTGGGTTAGGTTTCTGATTCACTGAATTAACAGATTTTACTGAAATTACTTTAAGAATTTTGAGATAAATTAAATCAGATCTACAGCTTCATGTGTCTGTGCAGTTAATGGTACAGTTTCCCTTCAAACTCCTACAATAAACCACCATGGATGCATTCAGTTCTGCCTACTGATTGATGATTTCTTCACCAGTAAGTGAAACTGCATCCAAACTGAACGCAGTCTCACCCAAACTGAGGCTGAATATGGTTTGGGTAACCAGCCAGCAGAGTTGGTTGTGTTTATTTGGTTTGTTTGCTTGTTTTTACCCTTGTGTAGTGTGCAGGTTTGTTGGACCGGTTTTCAATGTTTGCCCAAAGAGAGATTATGCAGCTCAATATTTCCACCTCAGACTCTGTTTTGCATCATTTTCTGTGAAGAAAATATCAAATAACACATTTTCAATGACTTCACATTGTAGCCCTTCCCCCCATATGTTTATATCACACACGGTGTTTGGATCCACTCGACTTGGGGATCATATACAATGAGTGTGGAGGTGTTGTGCCCCTTCCCCCTGTCCTCCTCATATGTGGCTTCCTGTTTCAGTGTGTGCGTGCTTTGCCTCTCTGCTCCTGTTTTTTTTTTCCACACTACGTTCAAACAATGTGACATTTCAAGCAACTGTCACAGGAAAAAGAAAACACAAATATTTTGGAAAACTATCAAAAACTTTAAAACTGATGTTCTTGTTTATGAGGAAAATAGACTAATTGTATGTTTTTATACACAAATTTGAACCAAGTATGAATGGAAGAGGATTAGGGCCAGTGGGGGAAAAAGTGAGGACTTCTTTTTTTTTTTTTTCCCCAGAATTCTAAGAAAAAAAGTCAAAATTCTTGCTATTTCCTTCTTTTTTTGTAAAGCAGTAAATTTCAAAATTCATGGATAACAACAATAATTGTAATGCACATTTTACCCCTCTGTCTTATGGAAAGGATCTATAGCAGGGGTCCCCAATCCCAGTCCACAAGGGCGGGTGTCCCTGCAGGTTTTAGATCTCACCCTGGTTCAACACACCTGAATCACACGATTAATTCATTACCAGGCCTCTGGAGAACTTCAAGACATGTTGAGAAGGTAATCTATCCATTTAAATCAGCTGTGATGGATCAAGGACACATCTGCAGGGACACCGGCCCTCATGGACTGGGATTGGGGACCCCTGATCTATAGTTTCTCATACGGTCCCAGCTGCAAATCAAGGGTGATGCACAACCTAAGATTGTCTGCTCAGAGAGCTTCAGTGACTTTACAAGGCAATATGATGAAGTTTTTAGAACATGGTTGCTTTCATCTTTATTAGATAAGACAGATAAGAAAGAAAACGAAATAGTTCTCTTCATAAAAGGAGAGAAGTAAACACCAAATAATAACCATGTATGTGATCTGTGTTGCTTGGAATTGGAATAAGTACAAATCTGTTAGGTATTTGTACTTAAATTGCTATGGGTGGATTGATTTAATAGCTCAGCAATGTCTTGGGTCCACCAGACCCGCCTACATTATCTGAGTAACAAACATTTGAACACCACAAAAGGTTTAATGGAGCAAAGCATGTGGATGACTGTCGGGGGACTGAATGCTACTGCAGATGGTGCAAATAGTAAAATAATAATAAATCTACCTGATTTTTCTTGTTACACTAATTACACTAATTTCTTTTATTTAGATTTCATAACTGAGTCTCTATGCCACCGACTGAAACATTTCTGTGTCCCACGTCTTCTTTTTACTCTGAAAAAACTTTGTTCAATACCGTGAAAATCTAAAGAAAGGTAATAATCCGCCTCTGGTGTCTTTTTTCTTTAGGTTCCTATTTTTAAAAAGAAGAGCTAAAATAATAACTTTTATTTAATGATCGAGTTCTGGTGATTTTTTTGTTTAATAAAAATTAATAAACAAAAAAAACATTCGCTTGCTGCTACTTACGGATGTGACGTAGGCAGACCGATGGGTCAAAGTTCAGCTAAACCTTGTGGACTTCCTTTCCTGTTAGCGGTGGCCATAGAACAGCATCAGTGAGTGCAATTTCCCTTCAAACAATCTTCATCCATCGCTCCAAATGCGCCTAATTTTGTCATTTTTTTCACGATACATAGACGGCACCGACTCTGTTAGTTCAGATGTGGCCGTTAGTTTGTAGATTTTGTTTGCTAAAGAAAGAAAATGAGCAGATTTATCGCAGCGCTTCGTCCCTAGCTGTGCTCTTTTCAACATGGCAGCTTCCTTGATGTGTAGCTGCTCAGAGTCCCATTGAACCACTTGTGAAATAAGACTGTTTATGTGTGTAGGCATCTTATTGAGCTGTATTAGTTTTGCTATAAGTAAAGGGGCTTATGCGGTGCA